GATAAAAGAAGAGGAACGAGGAGAGGAAAAGAGTAGGGAGGCGACTAGAGAGAACGGAAGAAGGTGGAGAGAAAGAGGGAGAAAGAGGCTGCCAGCAGCTGCTGGCTCACGCCGTAAGGAATGGAGGAGAGAGAGGGTCTCCTATCGGAGAAGAGAGGGGGCGGAGTGTGGCGGTGTTTCGCCTGAAAAAAGGAAAGGAGGATAGAAAGAGATTAAGGGGGAGGTTGCGGCTGCTTTTAGAGAAGGGAGAAGAAGATGAATTTTTTTTAAGGATTAGGTGTTTTAAGGCGTTAGAAATAGGACTAAAATAGAGATTTAATCACAACCATTGATTTAATAAGAGATAAAGGGCTAGGATTCGATCTAGCATTTAATTTAAAGATGGACAGATGACATTTGAAAATCAGATTTGGTTGGATATGAAATGGCTAAAATTACAATAAAATTTGGCTAGAATTGGAATGAAAGAGGGGCAGTTATTGCAATAAAATTTGATTGGAGTTGCTAGAATTGCAAGAGAATAGAATAGGATAGAATTTAAATAATTTTAAGGAATGTGTAGGAATTACTACAGATATTAAATATTTTTATATAATTAAAAATCATTTAAATTATAAAACATTTAAAATTCATTAATATTTTTAAAATATTTACGATAATAAAGTAAAACATACTAAAATATATAATTTTCAAGCCAAAATCTACTAAAAATTCTAAACTTTAAATAAATTTTAAAATACGTATTCAATCGAGTAGAATTCCTAAAAATATTTAAAGGTCGGTCAAAAATTGGGTGTCAACAACTGCTCCTTGGTTGATTGAGAATGGTGAATGAACTGTAAGGCAACCAACGCTGACTTAGTAGCCGATTTTGTCCGACCGACGACAGATGTCAGTGAGATCAATTAAGACGAGGTAGAGTTGGAAAAGAAAAGGGTACAACCAAGACTTTGGTATTAAGCATCCTACATATCTCTGGTTATACGAGAATCAGGTCGTGTGTAGTTCTAGATTCAAGAGCAAATGAAACTCTTAAAAGTCGAAAGAGAGCTAAGGTATTAGGAGGGCACGATATACGCTTGAATGGATAAGAATAGAGTAGCGAGAAGTGAGAGATTGAGAGGCTAAAAGAGCATGACAAAGAAGCGAGAAGAGCATGATAGAGTGAGGTTATCAGCCTTTGAGCAAGGTTTGGAGTACGAATAGCAAAGAATTGATAGGGTCTTCGTTGCGATAGATGATAGCATGATAATTGTAATCAAGGGGAGATTGATCATATCTACAAATTCTAGAGAAAATGTCAGCTTATAAATAGATAATGTATGACCAACAATAATAACATATGAGTTCTAAATAAATGACAAGAGGTGATAAGAAGCGTATGTGTCTTGAGACATAATGCAAGCCTTGATAGTCTATGGCTTAACTTCTTGAAGGATTTAAACCCATATCCGAAGAATAACGTCAAGATCCAATAGATCTGAGAATATAGCGATATAATAAAATAGATGGAAATTTCTGGTTGTAAGGTGGATGTACATAAGCATCTTGTTGCAAGGCAGAAGAATCTAAACGCCATTATAAGGCGAACTATCCTAAGTGTCACTTTAAGGCGGATGGCCTAAATATCTTATAAAGCCTACGAACATAAATGTCCTATGAGGCGGTCGAGCCTAAATTTTGTTTTAAGGCGGACGACCTAAATGTCCTTTTAAGGCGGACGAGCCTAAGTGTCCTTTTAAGGAGGACGGCCTAAATGTCCTCTATGATGGAAAAGCCTAACTATCATTTTAAGGCGGATGGGCCTGAATATCCTATAAGGAGGGCGAGCCTAAATATTGCGTTGTAAGGCGGACGAGTGTAGATGTCGCATTGTAAGACGGATGAGCCTAGATGTTGCATTTTAAGGCGGACGAGCCTAAATGTCGCGTTGTAAGGAGGACAAGCCTAGACGTCGCATTATAAGGTGGACGAGCCTAAATGTCGCATTGTAAGACGGACTAACCGATATGAAGAAAAGGTAGGTCAAAGTAATGGGTTGAATCCGACGATATCTTCATGGTAGTTTGAATGGTAGCTGAGTAGCGAAATGATAATGTGAGTAGCAAAGAATTTGTCAGAGCCTTCGTATGTAACCAAGGGGACAACCATTCAGAAGACGGATTTTTCTATAATCTGCGCAGCTCTACATGTAATATGACTTAAGTAGAGTGATTAGAGAAGATGAATCAAAATAAGAGGTAATGTACACATGATGCAATTTCCCATGTCGACCATAATGTTTGCCATAAGACTATGAAAATGATGTCGAGGGCTATTATATGCAAAGTATATCCTCAGGCCATGAAAATGTTGTCTGCAGGCCATGAAAATGACTCCTTTAGACTATGACACCTTCGGATCATGATAGGCAGAAATTAAACCCTTAGGCGAAGATACGATGTCTGCAGGCCATGAGGATGATTCCTTTAGGATATGATTCCTTAGGAACATGATAAGAATAAAATATGTTCTCAAGCCATGACATGAAGTCCGCAGGCCATGAAAAATGATGTCGTTAGTTGATGACGCCTATGGAATATAAGTAATGAGTAAAGAGAGCGTATCTTTTTTTTGCTCTGTTGATACTTGTGACTTCCTTTGATTCAGGCACACGCAAACTTCGAGCACAATGCAATTTTGGGCTTTTGCAAACTTTGGGCACAATGCAGTCTCGGTCATAATGCAATGATGCATCTCTTCGGGCACATGAATTATAGGGTACATGCAATGATGGGGTTCTTCGGGCACAATGCAATATCGGGCACATGAAATATCTAGCACATGCATTGATGTATTCTTCGTGCGCATGCAATATCGCGCACATGCAATGATGCATTTCTTCGGGGGCATGTAATATCGAGCACTTGCAATGATTCATTTCTTTGGGTGCATGCAATATCAAGCACATGCAACGATGCATTTCTTCGGGCACATGAAATATCGAGCACATGCAATGGTTCATTTACGCGATCTCAGGCATAATATAATGATGTAGTTCTTCGCCTTTGATGCAATATCGGGCGTAGGTGCAAATGATGCAATATCGGGCAGAATGTAATTGCCAGCAAAGCAGTTGCTTGAGGGCGTATAGTGGCTTGGACGTCCGCCTTATTGGAAGGGTCGAGTGTCATTTGTCGGGCTCAAAAGTTGTGTGTTGATTGTTGAAGTTGCGTTTGTATATGTACTTGTATTTCTGCATTCAAAGAAAATAGTTAATTTAAAAGGGGGAGGTTGATCTGTATCCATGATTTAATACAACGTGGTCCTTTGGTGTCTGATAGAATGTTCTTCAGAGTGTTGTCAAAAATTTTGAGATCCCTACAAAATTTCTGCCCCGGGGTAGAATTTCTATCATTCTGATCTGTTGTAGTTGTAGCTTGACTGTTGAATTTTTTGAGATTCTCTAAAATATTTCTACCCAGTTTTGATTTTCAGCAATTTTGAGACCCTCTGAAAATTCTGCCCCAGTTGTTGAAAAGAAATACTTTTGATGGAATTTTTGAGTTTACTCAAAATTCTGCCCCAGTATGGAGATGTACAATGAGAAATCTTGATAGAATTTTAGAGACCCTCTCAAAAATTCTGCCTCAGTTATCAATAGAAGGTGAAATGAAAATTTTATTTATGATAAGACCGAACCCCATAGGATCTCCTACGTATCCCCTCTTAAACGGGAATCAGGTCTGACGTAGTTCAAAATTACAAAAGACCATAAGCGAGATATTGAGAACATTCTTGAGTAGCAATTGAATGGTAGATTTTGACCAAGTTTATTTGCCCATATGTTATCATGGGTGTCTAAATGTGGAAAACATGAACTTAAATGGCGCAAGCCTTATTTGGGTAACTGGATCAAGTAGACTTTGGTGCGTTCACATTTGAACTTCCTTTGTTGCAAAGTCTTCCAAGCATATGGCCTTAGTATCAATCAGTTGTTGAATCTTCTCTTTCATATTGCGACATTCTTCTATTATATGTGCTTCCATTCCTGAATGATATGCACAAATCTTGGTGGGTTCAATCCACGATGCACGCGTAGTCATCCTTATTTCATTGATAAAAGTGATGTGACCAGCGAACCTCAACTTTTGATAAAGTTGGCCTATAGGCTCAGTCAGAGGAGTATAAGTTTTGTCAAGTCTCTCCTCAACCTTGAAGAGGATTTTGCGAATATGCGGTCGAGTGATGACTTTGGAATTGTGTCCAGGATATGTTAGTTGTCGATATGGCATAGGAGGACTTCGGTACAGAGATATTTGATATAGAGGGATGGAAGTGGTATAAGAGGGGCATGATGCCAAGGAACTTAGTGCATAGGTGTTTCGTATTTAGGAGCTTGCATAGTAGGATGATGCGGGTGTGAAGTAATATGTTGAAGTTTAGGAGCATATTCATGATGCTGCGGAGGATATGGGTGATTTCGAAATTAGATGTTCTTTGGAGGCATTTGAATGGAGCATGGTTGACTTTGAGAGGTAGAGTAATCTGGAGGATTATTTTGGAGAGTGACTTGTCTTACGAAAGGTGACATATCCATGTTTGTCTCCAAAGTGGAATTGAGCGGAGAGTAACAACTTTGCCCACTCGTGCATGTCCAACACCTCTTTTTCTAACATCTTTATTTTCTGCTCAAGGTTTGATACCAACTCGTCTGAAAGACACTTCTTTTTAATAGTTTTGCACATAACCTTAGCATTAGTCGCTTTCACTTTTTCTTTACATTTCTCGTTCAGAAGAGAAGAAAGTGAACCGTTTGATCGCGTGTGGTAAACCATGGTCTACACATATCAACCATTGGTAAAGGGTAACGAAAAAAATAAAAGCAAAACAGATCCCAAGATAGAACATTGCATAAATTGGGATATTAAACACATTATTTGAAGATAAACGCACTAAATGCAAAGTATCCTCATTGAGCCCGAGGTAGGCCTAGGCGACACATAAGTGATGCACAATGATTAATCCAAGCCTTATTTTCCAATTGGAGTTTAGATTAGAAGAAACAAAATAACTTTCGTTTATTATAAAATTCGAACAATACATCATAACAAAACTGAAATAAACTAAGGGAAAAGGTATAACTTGGGGGAAATCATCCTAAATTCTGAAATCTTGGAGGTATCGACTCCAAGATCTTGGCGCCAATTGACATCTTGTAATTGGAGGGTATTCATGTCTCATGTTCAACACACTTCGTGCCCATATGTTTTGCTTTTCATCGGCAAGCCCATGGTATCTTTCTCCACTTGATATTGGGACTTAAGATTCTATTAAGATCCATATGCAGTACTCATGTGTGCATAAAGCCTGTCGTGTACCGATATAAATAGTCAACACACGCTCCCATCATCGAAGTATGTTGTGGACTTGTGGTTTATCTAGTCCAAACTCATAAATGGCTCCATGTCAGATCGGAGTGGTATGATTTGAGTTTTCCCAAATTTGCAAAGTACTTGAAGAGGCGCATATGGTTGGACACCTCTCAAACCAATAATCTCGATGAAGTACCAGTCGTCCCCTCTTACTATGACATTAGGCATGGACAACCAATGAAGCTTCCATTGAATTCAGTGGCTCTCAAGCTCAGTCAGAAATATCTGCCAGTCCACAAATCCTATAGACGTGGCGATACGAGCCAACCTTCTTAAATAGTAATCAATCTTGTTGCCTTGACCAAGACAGGTATCTACCACGTCATATCGCTTATGGAAGTGATGGATAGCCCATAGTTGAAGTAGAAAGGTTGCATCCCTCGAAGAACATTCTACCATCAACACATGTTGAGATACTCCTCATTATCTCCGCCACGATCATGTGCTCTATGGTTTTCCTAGGCTCACCCGCTCCTTGAACTAGGTCTCAAACGACAAACCATAGACATGTATCGATTCTTCCCCTTAATTTAGGAAAAAGTAATGATCCCAATAAGGCGATGGCAAAGGTATCCAGACATACTTTTCCCATTCTTCAAAGGAGCACTCAAATTCATAGTCATAAATGCAGTAGCCATCATCTCGGCCGAATCATGAGTATAAGATGTCTAAATAAGTCCACCCAAGGTCTAAAGAAGTCCAGGTTGGATTTGACTTCATACCCATACTTTCTAGAAATTCCCTTGATAATGGCTTATAAGGTACCATCATTTGACATTCATGGTATGGAAGGTCGACGAATCCGTTAATTTCTTCAATTATTGGTGTCAAGTTGCAATCTGTAAAATTGAACCCCATCTTCACAGGGTCCTAAAACACTAGTAGCGCCCTATCAGGTGAGGGTTTGGTATGACAAAAATAAGAAATGTGAGGCCACCCAACAATTGATGAATTTCCCTTTCCCTATCTCTCCTTATATCCATCCACCATGTCTTAAGTCTCTGACTAACCTCTTTCACCATCTGAGGGTTTGGGAGTTCATACTCATTCATGACTCTGCAAATAAAACAATAAACAACTTCTAAACTTCATTTTGGCAAAAAATGGTTTGATTTAATTATTATGATCACATTGACACATGAGTATGCAGTTTGTCTAAAGGTTGTTGGGCCCTAATGGTTTTTGGGGCCCTTTAGATGAGAGGGTGACTACTAATTATGTGGATTGACACCAAGGGTCAAACCACCTAGGGCTTATGCATCATGTACGACCTAAGCAGGACTTCTAAGAGTTGTCTTGACACGGACTTGAAAGGGATTTTATGCGAGAGGCTCATGGTTTTGCGGTAGTAAAACTATCCATTAGGTCCACGCATATGCCATATCTCTATAATGGATATTTGAATAGAATTGGAGTAGTTGTGAGAGGTGCAAAAGCACAACATCACGAGAATAAAAAAAGGAAGAGGGTCCCAAATGGGGGAAGTATGAGCGGAATGCCAGTTATCAAAGCAATTAACATTTAGATTGGAAAGCGGTAACATATAGGCATTTTATAAAACAATAAATAAATAAGCATAAAAAACTAGAGGAAAGTAAACATATACATATACTAAAAATCACGCAAATAAGAAAAAAGGAAAAGGGAAAAGGGAAAAGGTGAAACACGGTAATAAACAAAAAACGAAGAGGGAAGGAGTGAGACATGGAAGACAGTAAATAAGACAACAAAATGATAACTAAACATGATAAACACCTAACAGATAATGAAATAACCAAAATAAAGTAACCCCCATATAAATAAGCATGAAACACGTAATGGTAAGAACCTAATATTCCCAGCAGAGTCGTCATTCTGTCGCACCCCATTTTTCGTGAAAATGGGTTTTGTGCACGACCTAACAACTCTTTTGGGATTTTGAGTTTGGAGTCCCCACCTAACGAACTAAGGCGTGTTAGGGCACTTATCTAACCTAACTAAGTCTAGCCAAGGTCAACGAGCCAGAGCTGAGGATAAGGGTTCAAATTACCTCGAGGGGAAGGTGTTAGTGATCCCTCAAGGTCTACATATGTGGATCCCGACCGTATCTCATGCAATCTATGTGGGGGTTATAACTAGCAATCAACGTCACTTCATTATTATTTATTAATATGCGTGCTAAGTGATGACATAATATTAGGCAATTAAAATTTTATATTAAGTTAATTTAAACATGCAAGGCTAGGTGATAGAAATAAATAAAGAATTAAAATCATTTTTATTTAATTTAGCATACGAGACTATATCAAATAACAAGTCGAACAAATAGGTCATATTAGTATTTTATTTGATTATTTAAGCATGCTAAAAGGTGTAGAAATAATAAACATAACAAATACTAATCATTTAAATAAAGATAAGCGAGGAGACAAAAATAGACAAATAGATAAGACAATAAATTAATTATTTTTATTTTAAGCTACCCCCAAAAAATTACTAAAGAACTAAAATTACTTAAGTTATTTATTATTTGAGCATACGATCTATGTATTAACATATTGACCAAATATTAAGCACTTAATGAAGAGATAAATAAAAAGGCATAATATGCACAAATAGATATAAAAACTATTCAATTTAATTTATTATGCCGCACCAAACAAGAATAAGATGTGCGAAAATAAAATTTTGAAAAATTGAGCAAATTCTAGATAGAATTTTTTTATTAAAAAACAGTTTGTTTCTTGATAGGGATGATGCCACGATATTGTTAATCGCGCTCCTCCACTATAGAAATAATTTTATTTTGAGGTCGGTCTTAGAAAAAAGTAAAAGTTTATACTTTTGAAGATGATAAAAAAATTTAGTTTGTATATAGGCACATAAATATTTACATATAAATACACATAATCTCTTTTAAAAATCATGGGTAGGTGGTACTCTCGGGGACACGTGTGCTTAATATAAAACATTGGAATTAAACGTCGTAATTCCTTTGACTTTCCCACTAACTATAGGTTAGGAGACAGTACTTATAATATATATATATATATATATATATATATATATATATATATATATATATATATATAAAACAAATTTCACAATCGATCCATAGTTTGAAAAGAGGATTGAACAATGACTAAGAAAAGCATGCTATAAATCTTTGTAAAAAAAAAGAACTAGTAGAGCATTAATGTAGTCAATGAATTAAATGCAAAGATTTTACTATGAAATATATTTAAAAGTCAAGAAATTTGTTAAATGCATCAAAACTTTTCTTTTTATTATCATAATTATTAGTTTTTAAAAAATAAACATATTGCATCATAAGTGCGAAAATCTTCAAGAGGACAAATTATATTACTAGTTAACAATATTAGCTAATTTAAAATGGCAAAAATATGTACAACAAATTTTATTTTAAATTATGGATATGCTAAGAATTTATTTACAAACCTATAAACATGATTTCTAGGTGTTCAGAATGGAGCAACACATATAGGCATGATTTTGTAACTCCAAATGATATGAACATTTTGATCATTAGGTATGATTTTGTAACTTCAAATGATATGAACATTTTGATTCTTAGGTATAATTTCTACGTGATAAGACAATGCTGAAAAATTATGACATATTTTTAACATCTAATTGATGAGCCTACTAAATTATTAGGATTTGATTTTAATATTCAAAATTATTATAATCTAGTTATTTTAAAACTCATTAACAAACAAAGCGTTAAGTATGTTGAAAATTGGTTAGATTAAAACATCTATAAACAAGAATTCTAAGTGGTTAAAAGATTTAAAATAGAATAAACCTATTGGCATGATTTCAAACTTTGAAAATTACGGTAAACAAGTAGCATGTAAATCCTTTCCCCTTAGGTGATCCACCCCAAATTTATTTTATATATAGAGAGTTGTATAAACATTACAAGTAAAAAGTAAAGAACAAATAGACATATATATATCAATAAAATGAACAAGGCTTCATCCACAATTTCTTCTAGGCAAATCTTCAACATCTTGAACTCTAAGTTCAAAATCTCGAAGAAGAGGTAATGTAACACATATACGATGAGTAAATAGTTGTAATATACAATGTTCATAGTAACAAATTACTTTCATATCTACATTTATAAACAACACACATAAGAAATAAAAGGGACAAAGCATAGATGAAGACATATTTCCATACATAGGGTGAAAGGATAAGGGAAATATCTGGGATGATCCCTTTTGTTTCAAACAATAATAATGATAATTATGCAAAAGCAAGATTTTAGAATAGTAAAAAAGGCTAACCAATTATGCAGAAAATTTTATCAGCAATGAAGTATTAAATAAGGTTTCAATCTACAACAGCAACACAACAAGAAATCCGTAGGATGATTCAAAGATTTACAAGAGTTCTTACTTTTTTAAGAATAGGAGAGTAATGTTTAAAGTATTTCAAGAAAAAAACAAAGGGGTAATGAGAGCAAAGTAATGAGAAAACTTGTTATTGAGAGAACTTGTGTTGAAAGTGTGAATGAGTTCCATTGAAAGAATGAGAAGGGGTCTCTTATATAGTGGAAGAGTTAGGAACTGATAAGGAAAAGAGATATTTAAGGAAATCAATTAATTATCATATTTTTCTTATTCAAAAGGAGATTCAAATAGGCCAAATTATTTAAATATTTTTACCAAATATAAGCAAGTAAGAACAATTAGGAAGACTAGTATATATTTCCTTAAATAAAGAGTAGCCAAAATCAGAAAAATATTTAACATGTTTTATTACCAAAAATGAATAAGAAATGATAGAGTTACGAAAATAATATTCTGTTACCTTAAATAAAGAAGCTCCAAAATAATATTAAATTATTATTATGTTACAAAATATAAACAAATAATAATAAATTAGTAAGATTAATTTATATATAAATAAGGAAGGATCATATCAAATTTATTAAAACATGTCATTTCTAAATATTAATAAGTAAGAAATAAAATTAGGAATAAAATTTATATTTTCCTTAAGTGAAGAAGAGTCAAAATCAAATTTATTTTTAATTTATTTTACCAATGATATGATCACCTAATATGACAAGAGAATAATAAGGTTGTCATAAACAACAAATTAGAATTAATCAAAGCCAAATATTAAAGGAAAGAGAGATTAATTAATATTATTTTCTTTAAATAAAGAGGAGCCAAAATGGATGAATTTTAAAATTTTCTTATCAAATACGAAAAGAGGTTAGAGCAAGGCAAAGAGATCAATTAAGGAGTCACCAAATTATTGAGATTTAGCCTAAATATAATGAATGTTAACAAATAATGTTGACTTACCGTAGTTAGATGAATGAGCAAATTGAAAAGAAAATAATTAATTCAGCTAAAGGAGTGAATGACCCATTCATCAATAAAAACAAAAGGTTAAACTATTAACACATGAGCGAGCATTAAGACATCATTTCAATTAATTGGTTATACTCTAACTTAGATGAAAAGGGTGAAAAAAATTTCCGACATAATTACAATGTCACACAATATTCAAAATCTCAAAGATATACCAATTAAGATAATTTCCAGATTTTACACACCACATTAGATAACCAAACTTTTACCATAGATACAATGGGCATCAATCGAGTGAAGTAAAGGGTCAAATAATGATTTAGCACATCCAAAATTACTCAAATTAGCAAGCGTTCATTGCAAATTAGAAGCTATTAAGGGAGTAAAATAATTTGAACATGGATTCAAGAAGCGAAATAAATTTCAAGAACAAATCAGCCCATACATACAATGATTTGAGACTACTATATGAATAAAAGAATACCTCGGACAGATCTGTAAAGATCTGCCCTTATCCATATTCTTCGCTCAGAGTGTTTGCCAGTAGGAGTTGTCGGAGCTGCAGGTTCTCGCTTCTACTGCTGCTCCTGGTCCTGAAAAAAAAAAGAACGGAAAAGAAGGGGAAGGGCGAGAAGAACGAGAGGTGGAGGAGAGGAGAGAGGAGGCACTGGCCAGGCATTCTGCTAGTTGCTGCTGCCTGGCAGTCCTAGGCAGAACTGCTGGCTGGAGCTGCTGCCACTGGTCTCTCGTAGTCGTCCGCTACTATCGCCTGCAAAATGGAGAGAAGTAAGGGGAAGGGAAGGAGAAGGTTGGGAGATGGGCTGGAGTAGAGAGGTCAAGGAAGAGAGGAACGAGAAGGAGAGAAGGGGAGAAAAGAAGAGGGAACGAGGTGAGGGAAAAAGAGGAGAGGCAACTAGAGAGAAATGAAGAAGGGGGAGAGAAAGAGGGAGAAAGAGGATGCCAGCTGCTGCTGGCTCACGCCGTAAGGAATGGAGGAGAGAGAGAGTCTCCTATTGGAGAAGGGCATGAGAACGGAGAAGAGAGGGGGCGGAGTGTGGCGGCGTTTCGCCGGAAAAAGGGAAATGAGGATAGAAAGAGATTAAGGTGGAGGTTGTGGCTGCTTTGAGAGAAGTAAGAAGAAGATGAGTTTTTTTTAAGGATTAGGTCTTTTAAGGCGTTAGAAATAGGAATAAAATAGAGATTTAATCTCAACCATTGATTTAATAAGAGATAAAGGGCTAAGAGTTGACATAGGATTTAATTTAAAGATCGACGGATGAGATCAAAAGATGACATTTTTAAAAATAAGATTTGGTTGGATATGAATGACTAAAATTACATTAAAATTTGACTAGAATTGGAATGAAAGAGGAGTTTTGATTGAAATAAAATTTGATTGTAGTTGCTAGAATTGGAAGAAAATAGAATAGGATAGAATTTGAATAATTTTAAGGAATGTGTAGGAATTACTACAGAGATTAAATATTTTTATATAATTGAAAATCATTTAAATTTTAAAACATTTTAAATTCATTAATATTTTTAATATATTTTAATAATATTTACGATAATAAAGTAAAACATACTAAAATATATAATTTTCAAGGATTATTATATGAGTATTCTTTACCTCCCACATAAGACTAGTGTGGTTACTAATGCTTTATGCAGGTTGTATATGGGAAACACAACCCATGGAGTTAGCGAGAGATGTGCATAGACTTGCATGCTTGAGAGTCATACTTGTGGATTCCACATAAGGAGATATAGTGGTGACGAATTGATATAAGTCATCATTAGTGTCAAAAGTGAAATAAAAGAAAGACCATTTTCTTGAATTGAACAAAATGTTCATAAGAAAACAATATTGGCTTTTTAACAATGGAGAGATGATATATTGAGGTATCAAGGTATATTTTATGTACCAATGGTGGATGGACTTCAAGAAAGCATCATGGAAGAAGATCATAGCTCTAGATAATCCATTCATCCGGGTTCCACAAAAATGTATCGCAATTTGAGCGATAGTGGAGTAGCATGAAAGGGGTACTGCATAATTTGTTGATAAGAATCCCAATTTCCAAAAGATAAAGTAAAGCACCAAAGACCCGTTAGTCTGGATCAGAATATAGAACTTACAAAATATAAATGGATATGATTAATATGGATTTCATCATAGGTTTATGAAGTTCTCTCACGCGGCATGATTCTATTTGAGTGATTGATGACAGAATGACAAAATCAGCCCACTTTTTACAGGTAAAGACTACCCATTCGACAGGATATAATTCTAAGTTATAAATTCATGATATCTCAAGACTTCATGGGGTTTCGGTCTCCATTATTTCATATAGGTGCATAATTTACTACACAGTTTTGAAAATATTTTTAAAAAGGCTTGGGTTCTAAGGTAAACTTGAGTACTGCCTTTCATCGCCAGACTGATGAGCAAAGGAAGCACACTATTCATATATTATAATATATGTTGAGAGCTTGTGTGATTGATTTGAAAGGGAATAAGGATGATCACCGACCTCTCATTGAGTATTGTTACAACAATAGTTACCACGCAAGCATTTAAATGACTCTTTATGAAGCTCTTTATGGGATAAGATGAGATCCCTTATTGGATGGTTTGAAGTTGGTGAAGCAATAGGAACATATTTAGTTCATAAAGCTATGGATAAGGTGAAGGTAATTCAAAAGAGTTTGAAAACGGTGTAGGGTCGTCAAAACAACATAGTTGGGGGGTTAATTAGGTAGGAAGCACCAAAATACTCTAACTTCTCACACCTAGAAATGACTAGAAGGAAGTCTAAAAATCTTGAAATAGTAACTTTTGGAAAGTGTCGCGCCCCATTTTTCATAAAAATGGGTTTTGTGCATGACCTAACAACTCTTTTGCGATTTTGAGTTTGGAGTCGCCGCCTAATGAATTAAGGCACGTTACGGCACCTATCTAACCTAACTAAGTCTAGATAAGGTCAACGAGTCAGAGATCAGGGTAAGGGTTCAAATTACCTCGAGGGGAAGGTGTTAGGCATCCCTCAAGGTCCACAAATATGGGTCCCGGACGTATCTCATGCAATCTATGTAGGGGTTACAACTAACAATCAAGGTCACTTCATTATTATTTATTAATATGCTTGCTATGTGATGACATATTATTAGGCAATTAAAAAATTTATTTTTAGTTAATTTAAACATGCAAGGATAGATGGTAGAAATAAATAAACAGTTAAACTTATTTTTATTTAATTCAGCATACAAGACTATATGAAATAACAAGCCGAAAAAATAGCTCATATTATTATTGTAATTGATTATTTAAGCATGCTAAAATGTGATGGAAATAATAAACACAACAAATACTAATAAGTTAAATACAGATAAGCGAGGAGACAAAAATAGACAAAAATATAAGCTAATAAACTTCTTCTTTTTATTTTAAGCTACCCCAAATAAATTATTAAAAAAATAAAATTACTTCAGTTATTTATTGTTTGAGCATACGATCTGTGTGATTAAAATATTGACCAAATATTATGCACTTAATAAAGAGATAAACAAAAAGGCATAATATGAACAAAGACATATAAAAATAATTCAATTTAATTTATTATGCCACGCAAAACAAGAATAAGATGTGTGAAAATAAAATTTTGAAAAATTGAGAAAATTTTGGATAGAATTTTTTATTAGAAAAATATTTGTTTCTTTATAGGGATGAATTAACGATATTGTTAATCGCGCTCCTCCACCATAAAAGAATTTTGTTTTGATGTTGGTCTTAGAAAAAATAGTAAAATTTTATACTTTTGAAGATGATAAAAAAAATTTAGTTTGTATATAGGCACATAAATATTTACATATAAATACACATAATCCCTTTTGAAAATAATGGGTAGGTGGTACTCCCGGGGACGCGTCGGCTGAATATAAAACATTGAAATTAGACCTCGTAATTCCGTTGACTTTCCCACTAACTATAGTTAGGAGATAGTACTTATATATATATATATATATATATATATATATATATATATATATATATATATATATATATATATATATATATATATATATATATATATAGACAAATGTCATAATCGATCCATAGTTCGAAAGGAGGATTGAACAATGACTAAGAAAAGCATGTTATAAATCTTTGTAAACAAAAAAAAACTAGTAGAGCATTAATGTAATCAATAAATTAAATGCAAAGATTTTACAATGAAATGTATTTAAAAGTGAAGAAATTTGTTAAATGCAACAATAGATTTCTTTTTATTATTATTACAATAAAAAAAATATTGCATCATAAGTGCGGAAATCTTCAAGATGACAAATTATATTACTAATTAATAATATTAGCTAATTTAAAATGAAAAAAATATGCACAAAAAATTTTATTTTAAATTATGGATATGCTAAGAATTTATTTACAAACCTATAAACATGATTTCTAGGTGTTCAGAATGGAGCAACACATATAGGCATAATTTTGTAACCCCAAATGATATGAACATTTTGATCCTTAGGCATGATTTTGTAACCAAATGATATGAACATTTTTATTGTTAGGCAAGATTTCTACAAGATAAGACAATGCTGAAAAATTATGACATATTTTTAACATCTAACCGATGAGCCTTCTAAATTATTAGAATTTGATTTTAACATTCAAAATTATTAGAATCTAATTATTTTAAAACTCATTAACAAACATAGAGTTAAGCATGTTCAAAATTGGTTAGATTACAACACCTATAAACAAGAATTCTAGGTGGGACAAGATTTAAAATAGAATAAACCTATAGGCATAATTTCTAACTTTGAAAATTACGGTAAAAAAGTAGCATGTAAATCCCCTTCCCTTAGGCGATTCACCCCAAATTTATTTTATATATATAGAGTTTTACAAACATTACAAGTAAAAAAAATAAAGAACGAATTGACATATATATAACAATAAAATGAAAGAGGCTTCACCCACAATTTCTTCTAGGCAAATCTTCAACATCTTGAACTCTAAGTTCAAAACCTGGAAGAAGAGGTGATGTAACACAATTACGATGAGTAAATAGTTATAATAAAAATGCTCATAGTAACAAATTACTTTCATATCGACATATATAAACAACACACATAAGAAATAAAAGGGATAAAGCATAGATGAAAACATATTACCACACATAGGGAGTAAGGATAAGAGCAATATCTTTGATGCTCCCCTTTGTTTCCAACAACAACAATGATAATTATGTAAAAGCAAGATTTTAGAATAGTAAAAAAGGCTAACCAATTACGCAGAAAATTTTATCAGCAATGAAGTATTAAGTTAGGTTTCGATCCACAATAGCAACACAACAAGAAAGAGTCCGAAGGATGATTCAAAGATTTACAAGAGTTCTTACATTTTTAAGAATATAAGAGCAATATTTAAAGTATTTCAAGAAAAAAGCAAAGAGGTGATGAGAGCAAAGTAATAAGAGAACTTGTTATTGAGAGAACTTGTGTTGAAAGTGTGAATGAGTTCCATTAAAAGAATGAGAAGGGATTTCTTATATAGTATAGGAGGGAGGAACAAATAAGGAAAATAAATATTTATAAGAATCAATTGATTATCATATTTTTCTTATTCAAAGGGGGATTCAAATCAGTCAAATCTTTTAAATATTTTTACCAAATATAAGAAAGTAAGAACAATTAGGAGGAGAAATATATTTTTCCTTAAATAAAGAGGAGCCAAAATCATAAAATATTTAAAATGTTTCATTACCAAAAATAAATAAGTAGTAATAAAGTTAGGAAGACAATATTCTTTTACCTTAAATAAAGAAGCTCTAAAATAATATTAAATTATTATTACACTACAAAATATAAAGAAACAAGAATAAATTAAGGAGAGTAATATATTCATAAATAAGGATGAGACAAATCAAATTTAATAAAACATATCATTTCTAAATATAAACAAAGAATAAATAAAATAAGGAATAAAATTTATATTTTCCTCAAGTGAAGAAGTGTCAAAATAAAATTTATTTTTAATTTATTTTACCAATTATATGAACTACTAAATATGACAAGAAAATAATAAGGTTGCCACAACCAACAAATAAGAATTAATCAAGTCAAATATTAAACGGAGGAGAGATGAATTAATATTACTTTCCTTAAATAAAGAGGAGCCAAAATGGATGAATTTTGAAATTTTCTTATCAAATAAGAAAAGAGGCGAGAGCAAGGCAAAGAGCTCAATTAAGGAGTCACCAAATTATTGAGATTTAGCCTAAATCAAATAAATGTTCACAAATAAGGTTGACTTACCGTAGTTAGATGAATGAGCAAATTGACAAGAAAATAATTAGCTCAGCTAAATGAGTGAATCACCCATTCATCAATCAAAACAGAAGGTTAAACCATTAACACATGAGCAAGCCTTATGACATCATTATAATTAATTGTTATACACTAAGTTAGATGAAAAGAGTGGAAAAATGTCCAAATTAATTACAATGTAACACAATATTCACAATCTCAAAGATATACCAATTACGATAATTTCCAGATTTTACACACAACATAAGATAACCAAACATTTACCGTAGATACAATGGGCATCAATCCACCAAAAGAAAGGATCATAACGATTTAGCACTTCAAAAATTAATCAAATTAGCAATGGTTCATAGAAAATTAGAAGCTATTAATGGACTAAATAATTTGAACATGGATTCAAGAAGCGAAAGATAAATTTCAAGAACAAATCAGCTCATACACACAATGATTTGAGACTAATATATGAATAAATGAATACCTCGGACGGATCTGTAAAGATCTGCCTTTATCCAAGTTCTTCGCTCGGAGTGTTGACCAGTTTGGAGTTTTCGGAGCTTCAGTTTATCGCTGCTACTGCTGCACCTGGTCCTCCAAAAAAGAAAGAACGGAAAAGAAGGGGAAGGGCGAGAAGAAGGAGAGGCGTAGGAGAGGAGAGAGGCGGCGCTGGCCAGGCATTGCTGCTGGTTTCTGCTGCCTGGCAGTCTTGGGCGGAAATGCTGGCTGGAGCTGCTACAAGTGGTCTCTCGTAGTCGTCCGCCGCTCTCGCCAGCAAAATGGAGAGAAGGAAGGGGAAGGGAAGGAGAAAGTTGGGTGACGGGCTGGAGCATAGAGGTTAAGGAAAAGAGGAACGAGAACGAGAGAAGGGGATAAAAGGAGAGGAACGAGAAGAGGGAAAGAGAGGGGAAGTGACTAAAGAGAAGGGAAGAAGGGGGAGAGAAAAATGCTGCCAGCAACTGCTGGCTCACGCCGGAAGGAATGGATGAGAGACGGGGTCTCCTATCGGAGAAGGGGAGGAAAACGGAGAAGAGAGGGGGCGGAGTGTGGCGGCGTTTCGCCTGAAAAAGCGAAACAAGGATAGAAAGAGATTAAGGGGGAGGTTGCGGCTACTTTTAGAGAAGGGAGAAGAAGATGATTTTTTTTAAGGATTAGATCTTTTAAGACGTTAGAAATAGGAATAAAATAGAGATTTAATCATAATCATTGATTTAATAAGAGATAAAGGGCTAGGATTCGTTCTAGGATTTAATTTAAAGATGGACAGATCAAATTAAAGATGACATTTAAAAATGAGATTTGGTTGGATATGGAATGGCTAAAATTACAATAAAATTTGGCTAGAATTGGAATGAAAGAGGGGCTATGATTGAAATAAAATTTAATTGGAGTGGCTACAATTGGAAGAAACTAGAATACGCTATAATTTAAATAATTTTAAGGAAAGTGTAGGAATTTCTACAGATATTAAATATTTTTATATAATTGAAAATCTTTTAAATTTTTAAACATTTGAAATGCATTAATAATTTTAAAATATTTTATTAATGTTTACAATAATAAAGTAAAACATACTAAAATATAATTTTCAAGAAAAAATCGACTAAAAATTCTAAACTTTAAATAAATGTTAAAATACATATTTAAGCAAATAGAATTCCTAAAAATGGTTAAAGGTCGATCAAAATTGGGTGACAACAGAAAGTATAAGGAAATCTAGAAATTTTAAGTAATTTAAAAGTGAGTTTGTCAAGTTAAAACAATTAGAACTCCTTGATCGGGATGATTTAGGTGTAGTTTCACATATGATTGGAAAGTTCTTGGAATGATATTTCAAACGCTGTGAAGTTTGCGCAATTTTGAATTCGTATGAGTGAGTTATGTCTAGCCAATTTCCGCAACTTTTTCTACTATTTTAGAGGAGTTTCTACACCGTAGATCCCTTATACTAGGTACTCTTTTTCAAAAATATTTCATCAAGTCTAGTCTTTTTTGTATAGACTCCTTCCTATGGGAAATGTTAATTTCCACTGACTATTTTGCTGGGTCCAAGGAAAGTCCAAAGACTCATTTTTAACAAAACCTAGTAATAGCTCCTAATCCGACTTCAATAGATCTTTGGTCCTTCTACGGTCCGAAGTTGTATTTTGTAGAACATGAATTGAAAAAAAATGCAACTTTTCAAATCCTTTTCAACTTATCAATTTCAAAGTTATTACAATATATCCCCTTTGGGAATGCTAATTCTCAAATGGGAATTAAGCTAGTATTAGTAAAGTAGGACGAGAAACTAACAACCTAACATTTATGCAAATCACATCGAAGTGCACTTAATCAATGAGTAATCAACTCCAAGATAAGACATCAACTTACAACTTAATACCTTAAGAAAATGTATGCATATATGAAAACATGAGAAGGACTAAACGCATGAATCAAAGAAAACTTAACACCTCAAGCAAGACTAGGAACGAAGGGAAAGAGAAGTTCATACTTGGACATCCTATTACTTCGGACTCACAAGTAGCACCCTTAACAAGTTGATTCTCTAAAGAACCTTCACGGAAGCAACTTTTTTGTATTGAAACTTTTGGACTTGTTGAATCAAGATTTCATTAGGAACCTCTTCATATGAAAGGTTTTCCTTAACTCACCGGAATTTCTAATGGTACATTAGAAATCAATTCTCCAATACACCTTTTCAACAAGAGGATGTGGAATATCGGAGGTACCAATGCCGTCACTATGTAACTCTAACTCAAAAGCAACTTTGTAAATATGCAATAAGCTTCCCCTTCTTTTCAAACCTCAACACACCCTTAATAGGTGATATTTTCAAATAAACCCAATCCTCAGCCTCATGTTCGAGCTCCCTTCGCCAAATGTTAGCATAAGACTTTTGTCTACTTTGAGCCATTTTAAACCTTTACAAGTATGTTGAACCTACTCCATAGTCTCCTGTAACAATGTAGGCCCTATCAACGCAACCTCATCGAATATAAACCAAAAAATAAGAGATTGATACCTCCTACAATATAGAGCCTCAAAAGTAGCCATTTGGATACTCGAGTGAAAAACTGTTATAATAATCAAGCTCAATCAAAGGCAAATGATCATCCCAAATCCCTTGAAGTCAATCACAAAATCTCTCAACATATCTTACAATGTCTAAATAGTATGCTCAACTTGACCCTTTTTGAGGATGAAAAGTTATATTAAGATTCACTTGAGTTGCAAGACCTTTTTGAAATGACCTTTAAAACTAAGAAGAAAATTGAGTACCACGATCAGAGATAATGGATAAAGGAACTCCATAAAACCTTACCGTATCCCAATTATAAGGCCTAGGTTAATCTTCAGTTGAAAGTAAAGTCTTCGGGGGAATAAAATTGGCTGATTTCATCATCCGGTTTAAATAACCCAAATCAAATCAAAGGGACGATTAGTAAGAGGTGAGCATGTAATGAATTCCATATTCAAATTATTGAACAGTAATGTAGGAATACTGATATCTTTAGTCAAACCAACTAGTTTCTAATGCTCAACTTTAACTTATTGATCGTAAGGATATTTAGCCACAAAATCCATGATATATTTCGTCATCCCATTCAACAAATGGATCTCTCGCAAATCATAGTACATTTTTGTGGCCATTATGTGAATAGAATACCAAAAATTATCAGCTTTCAAAAAGAATATGAATAATTAACTCATTAATATTTGAAACACATAATTAACCTTGGTAATGAAGAAAACGAATTCCCCCTTGGCAGATAGCCTTAATGGGTTTTTTCAAAAACCTTGTTCTTCAAATCAACCAAAATCTGATAGAGATCTTGCTTATTTTTCACATTCAACAGAAGAGACGATTCCAAACAATTTTTAACACGCCAAACTCATTGGAATCAACCAAGCAAACACCTGATTAGGATGTCACATGAACATCATAAACAACTATTTCTTACAATTCTCAACATGAGAAACACTACCTATTGATAGCCTACTAACAACATTTGCATTGACATTCACTTCACCCATATGATAAAGGACACAAATATCGTTATATTTTAAAAAATCAATCCATTGTTCTTGACAAAGATTTAAGTTATTTTGGGTGAACAAATTATTTAAGAAAAAATTACTGCCGCTAATTCCAGATCATAAGTTGAATAGTATTTACCTTGCACTGTTAATTTTGTAGAAACATAATCAATAACTTTCCAAGTTGCATCTAAAACACAACCAAGAACAATCTGAGAAGCATCAAAATAAACCAGAAATCCATTGGATCCATAAGGTCTGAAGTGAGTCTATCATTGAATTCTAGGAAACTCTTCTCACAAGCTTCAAACCATAGAAATTTCACCTTTTGGCGTCAACATCGTCAAGTAATGAAGAAATATAAGAAATTTTTTTAGGAACCATCTGTAGTAGCCGTCCAAACAAAAGAAACTCTAAATATCTGAAGCAGACAAAGGTTTAGGACAATTGATAACTACCTCGTTGTTCCTAGGATCAACTTGAGTACCATCACTGGAGACAATCCAAGGAAAGAAAATCACCTCAACTAAAACATGCAATTTCCAAACATACAAAACAATTGGTGATTTTCTATGATTTATAAAACTATACTTTGATCTCAATATGCTCATCCTCACTTTGTGAGTAAATCAACAAATCATAAATTAACACAATAAAGAACATGTCAAGAGTATTGTTTAAAAACTCTATTTATTAAGTATGGAAATCTACCAGGGCATTAGTCTATCCATATTATATTATCAAAATCTTATAAGCACCATACCGATTTCGGAAGGATATCTTCAGAATGTCACTTTCCTTTAATGTTAATTAGTAACACCCCATTGAAGGTGAAGCTTTGCGAAAAAACTAGAACCTTTGAGTTGATCAAACAAGTCGCTAATCCTTGGAGAAGGATACTTATAATTTAAACCATGTTTATTTGTTAATTGTCAATGCATATTCAGAGCAAACCATCCTTATTTAAGATGAACAACACCGGAGCACCCCATGGAGATATACTTGTTCTAACGAAACCCCTATCATAAAATGTTTCAATTGATCCTTTAATTCCTTATGTTTTATTGGAGTCATACGACAATGAGGTATAAATATATGCTAAATATCCGGAGTAGGTTAGTACTAAAATCTATTTTCCTTTCGGGAGGGATATGTGGAAGATAATCGAGAAACACTTCCAAGAAAATATTTGCAATCGAAATTGTCTCAAGTGTAGGGGTTTGAGAATTGGGGTCCCTTAACCTAACAAGATAAATGCAATCCTTAGAAATTATTTTCCTAGCATTTAGGCAAGATATAAACTAACCATTAGGAGCAGAATTTTCTCATTTGCATTTTAAGATACGTTTGTTTGGAACCTGGAATATGAACAATTGTATCCTATAATCATAACATGAGTGAAGCCAATACATCCCAAGATAAAATAGATGATAACATATCAATCTCTAAAAGATCAACATGGGTGATTTTATGAGAAATAGAAACAAGTCAATTTTAAGTAATTTGTTTAGCAACAATAAAGTCACTAAAAAGTGTAAAAACTAAAAAAAATTACAATAAAATATTGGGAAAGATATCAAATCCATAGCCACATAAAGAGTCACAAAATATTGGACCCGAATAAAGTATATCATATATATCAAGATGAAAGGCCTCCAATATACTGGTCCATGAAAAGAACCCTCATGATCATGCTCAATTTGAAGATCATAGAAAATGTTTTGACAAGGAGCACCAAATTAGAACCACTAGGCTGGGCTTTCTTGTCATCATTCCCCGTAGGAGCTTGTGATGTACAATTCCTCATATTAAGACCACTTTCCGCATAACCACAATGATTATTTTTAATGGCTAAGCACTTTCTTGGATGGCTCTAATAAAAATTTTAAAAGCAATAATAGAAGATTTATTACCACTACCGTTTTAAGGCTTAAGGTTAGAAACTTTGTCTTTGTTTAACTTTTATTCGGCATAGAGAACTTTTATCAGAATTGTGGATGACCATGTCTAGCGTACCTAGAATGAGAAAAGTCACCTTCTCTAATCATTGCCTTCTTAGATTTTCTTGACTTCTGATTTATCTTATC